TATGTAGAACGTTTGTAATTTAGCGAAATTGCCGCACACTTAAAGATAGTGGAGTTAAAACACAAACTTTGCTAGCGGTTTGGCGTTTGCCGTAAACGTCAAACTAAAGGTCTCTAATGATAAAGTTTGACGATTGACCGCGCGTTTGGGAAACTGAGAATGACGCCCAAGAAGGCTTCATGACCGCCATTTTTGGCTTCACTTTTGGATTGCGTAATTCCTTTAAGTTAGCCTTCCATGTTATACAGTTCAGTGCCTTTAGCTCAAGTATCCTCCTGACTTTTGATTGGTCCATGCTTTTCTCGTACAGGTGTTTCATAATATTAGTGGACTTTAACCAACTAACTTGAAATGGCTTTTGACTTTGGGCCGATGAATTTACTTCAAGTCTCTAAATATAAGTTTAAAGTGAAGCTCATTTGAGTTACATTTGCAATATAAGTTTTCTTACTTATTAAATGTCAATGAAAACGTTGTAATAAGAGACAAAGGCTGGCCCGCATTCATTAGGGACTGCTATACATTTACCTTATGTCAATACGAATTAGATCTCTCTTTTTAATTGCGGATAAATACTATTAGTAGTTGTGAAAGCGATCTACGAAAAAATTTCCTTTAGATATTTAATGTGTTGCCGTTTATTTCTTCACCTGAGGTGAAGATTTATATCCACATTATGCCATTTGTTCAAAAATTTAATTTCAAATTATGTATAGAAGAAAGAGGCTAAAATCAACAAATACTTAAAGAAAATACACTGAAAAGAAAACGATGCACTTTAAATTCAGCAATTTTAATATATTTAGTCATTCGACAGTTCGACTTTCGTGCAAGCAACCGTTTCCTCGCAATTGAGAAAAATTGTTCAGTGTTCAGAGTCTCAATATATAAACATTCCTGCCGGTGGAATACTGTTAATCTATATACATCGCCAACATTGAAAACGACTTTCCACTGTTTTGCAAAAAACCTATAAGTGGCACGTCGCATTGCACCTGTTCAAAAGAAGATGGCTGAAACAGTTTTTCTTTCATCTTGGAAAGGCCTGACGCCGAATTTAATTCATATGCTTCTGGGTTTATGGATTGTGACAAATTTGAATGTTGAAACGTTTGGAAAAAATGTCACGATTTGTTTTGATGTTAAACACAAAGGTACGTTTTTAAAGGCCGCTTATTTATTGAAGGCGACGAATTCAAAACTGCGATATATATACTAATAATGGTAATTGTGCATTATACTTGTGCGGAGCCCAGGTACGCATGCATGTGTATACATTGATAAACCTTATTCTATAAGAAATTAAAAATACCTATATGCAGCGAGATGTTTTTGCGCTGATGAACTTATGCATGCAATTTACTATTATACGCTCTTGAACATATAGATTATACATACAGGAATCAGCACTAAAAGGTGTCGCGACAATCATGCGAGTGATCGAGTATATATTACAACACACCGTCAGACACAGTGTCCCAAAAAGTACCAAATTTGACATCCGGCAAGCTCTTGTTGGGGTTTAAAACTAAAGCGAGACATAGCATACCTTTTTGTTCGGGGTGCACATGCATGGATAAATTTATTCATGCACCGGATAGTGACTTTTTCAACCGTCGTAAGAAAGCTTTGAGAAAAGATAAAACTACTTATATTAAATTTATAATCGCTAAAGAGTATCTTAATTGCCAAATTGTAAATCTGGGCCATGCCAAGTACGAGGATTTTATAATCACTATATCTAGTGGATAACTTCAAAAACCTTTCGAACAACCGGCCCTGGCCCCTTGCGTTTAAAATCAAACAAAAGCGGAACCTTATGGCCATGCGATACCTTATACGATACAAGTAAAAGCGATAAAAAAGTGTTTTAATAGAACGACGTTTCGAATTTCGATGTCATCTTTACATCATTTTCAAGTTCAAGTAAAGTTAATTCGTTATCAATTTAGTGTTCGTATTTCAACCCTGTTCTTGCATGGCGCTAAGATACGAGTACGTAAAGTAACATAGAAAGTTATAACGCATGAAAATTTGGCAAAATTGAAAAGTCTATATAAAATGCATGATTACAAATAGAACGTTAACAAATTTACAACAATTATAACCAAGTTAATTCACATATAAATATATACTTTAGCATGCACAAATTAAGTTGGTCCGGCTGCGTCAGCATGGCTTAATTGTGTTCTTGTAAAGCACTTTACATGCATAACACTGAGACAATCATATAGCTACTTCCCCTGACGCGCAAAACCAAAAAGAGTTTGCGATTCTTTCAGCATCCTTACCATGAGATTTCTTTACATGCGTCACTACAGAGCAGAACGCTCGGCTCATTGTGCTCTGTTTTTCTTCAATAATTACTTCAATTGCTGTGATGTATATAGCTATACAATAGAACCTATGCACTTTTCCATCCTCTTCCTAGAGGCTTCCTCCCCTATGTTTCTAAAAAACCCCTCGGGTTCTGTATGGAGGTGCACACAAATATAAAACAATCCTACAATAACCGTGTACATATAATAGAGCAGTCATATATAGAACTATAAACTTAGAGCCATGCACAATTCTTTACCACGTATTTTTTCAAAAATTTAAAGGTCATCGCTTGGAAAGTAAACCTTCAAGAATCGCCGAGATTCACGTAACTTCTGAAAATGATTGTATCGTTGAATGTTACAAAAATAGAAGTTTATGCCAATCTGTAAACTACGAAAAAAACGCAACAGGACGAAATTGTGAATTACTGAACACTTCCTATTCAGAACAACGATACAATTTGAGAGAAAATGCAAGCTTTGACCACTACAAACTTGTAGAATCGGATAAAGTAAGTATATATCCTATTTCGAACTGATATATAGGCCTATATGCATATCTAAAGGATAATCCTAAATTAAGTAAATCTTTATTGATCAAGGATATAAGTGACGTGAAATTTGACTATAGTATGTAAGTGTGAAAACTGCATATCTAAAGACATAATTCATAAACGGTAAATGATAGCCAAAATAATGTTTTAGTGTTGTTTTTTCTTGGTTTATAATCGTGCTACAGTTGTATTTGCATGGTTCAAAGAATATTGAAATAAACTAAAAACCTCTTGTAGAATCACGAAATGTTATTCCAAACGAATCTAATTTTAGGAATTCTATGAATTACAACTAACCCATGCATATCTTTATTAAAGATGGCCAGCGCAATCGAGTTTTTAATTGAGGAGCACCCTTAGTTAAATTCACGTATTTCCCATTTCTTAAAGCTAACAGATCGCGTTCAAACCAGCCCAAAGCCAAAGGCGACTCCGCGCCAAGCAACAGGTACGACATTCGGGCTGTAACTATGATATGGATCAAAACATTAAGGAAAATTTGTGATCATGACACGGCTATAAGATGGTATACCGTGTATGATGTCATGATAGAAAACATTGTATAAACAGTATATAAAGTGTACGGCATAAATAATAAAGTTTTCCAAAACATGTTTAGAAAATTACACACAGAGAAAAACACAAGAAAAGGTTTCTTCTACTAAACAAACTGGTAAGAGAAAAATAAAACAGTGTTACAGGCGGTTGTTATACCAGATTTGATGCTAAAGCATTTACACATAGTCATGTATTAAGTCATATATTAAAATTAGGCTTGCTTGTTTTAATTTATGTCCTCAAATCAATTCTAAGTAGGATATTGAGATGACTACAGCTAGCGCACATATTTCCGATAATATGCAGTCATGCACATAAAAACTGAAAGTAATATGTCATATTGTATGCAAATGAACATCTTTCTCTACAGAACCGTCAACACCGAAAGCAACAACAAAATTGGTCTCCACCACGTCACGTAAGTTTAAAATAAATACCAAAGCATGAATTAAACCACCGAAAGAGTCTGACTGTATATCTTGCCATGAACCAAGGGGGGAAATGTTGACCAATTCAGTTTTCCGATGATATACTGAAGGTGATGTCCAACGTCATATCCACATGCCACAAAAATTTGATCTTTTACCATAGCACTATCTTCACCGAAAGAAACAACAAGAATGCTTTCAACTGCATCAAGTAAGTTTAAGTGAAAACCAGCGTAAAAACAATATAACGATAAAAGAGAGTGCAAGTTTTGCATAATATACTGAAAAGTAATAATTTTATAACAATATATATAAAATCATTCAAATGCATCGAGTAAGAAAATCACAAAAGTCTTGAGCCTGTAGTGATGATGGAAGTATACGGTGGCTCACAAGGGTCACACACAAATATAAAAGAATATGTACACATTAGTTAACTAAATACAATAATTAAAACATATGGCAAGTAAATAAAGACGCAAATTGAATTAAAAGCGAAAATCAAAATGAATATATCAGATTATAAAGTTATAGAAATTTCAAGTAAATAATCAAAGCTATCGGTTTCTCAAGAAAAGAGAAAAATTTATAAAAAAATAAAAACAACATTTTTAAGCAGTGCAACAATAAAAAAAATATCACACACATTAAAAAAAGTGAAACTGTGCGCGCTCATGGGCTCACACGGAAAACCGCAAACGGTTCTATTGCGGGCGCATATTTTGCTTATGCCGTTGATCCCTGTTGATACTGAAATTAATATTTTATAGGGCGTGAATTTGTTTGCTGAGTGTATAGTTCTCAGATAATATACTGATGTTTTCATATGTTTTAATAATTATGTACAAACAGATTATTTTCTTTTTAGCACCAGCTACACCAATAGTGACAACAGAAAAGAATCCAGCGACATCAGGTAAGCTTAACACGAACTCGAAAGTGTATTGGACCTCAGAAAACATTACAGCACAAAAGTATAATATTTTTATTGTTACATGCGAATGGCATTGTGAACGCCAAGAAATATATATAGGAACACCTTCATGTATATAGTCTTTATAGTGTATAGTCTATAAATAGTCTTTAGATAATATGTTTCATTGTAGCTGACGATGAGTTCTCTACAGAACCACCAACAACGAAAGCAACAAGAAAAATGGTCTCGGCCACATCACGTAAGTTCAAAATAAAGACAAAATCATCCTCGTCACAAAGGCCTGGCTGCGAGGATGGACCAAAGTCCAAAGAGTGTGACTGTATATCTTCCACTAAAGGCAATGTTTTAACGTTATATGCACATGCCAAAGAAATTTGATTTTTTATTATAGCACTATCTTCATCGAGAGAAACAACAAGATTGCTTTCAACGACAAGTAAGTTTAAATGAAAACCAGCTTATAAACAATAGTGATTAAACATTGAGTGCATGCACGTTTTGCGTATAATATACTCAAAAGTAATAATTTTATAACTATATTTAAGCGAATAAAATAGGGAAATTTTTTTCTTCGAAGCACCATCCACATCAAGAGTGAAAACTGACAAAGATGCAGCGACATCAAGTAAGATCAATATGAACATAAAACATTGGCCATGTGTCCATGAAAGTTAAGATTTCAGATAATTCACGAACCAAAGAAAAGAGTCGTGCGAGATCCGTCTAACTCAGCATGGAAATTTAGAATAGAACCGGCCTATTGTGTTGGGACGATGCTAAACCTATAAAGTCGTGCAAATTTTATAAAAACAATTATTTCATTGAAAATCTATCGATAAATTATATCCATCACAATTACAAATTATAATTATAATGTTTTATAGCAGCATCTACATCGAGAGCGACAACAGAAAGATATTCGACTACAGCAAGTAAGATAAAAATAAAACAGAAAATTGTGCATGAGCTACTGTAATACTGAATAAAATATAAACTCGAGAAAATATGTCATTTAAAGTTATACTTATATTTTTATATATGATAAAAAAATGTTCTTTTCATAGCAACATCTACATCGCGAGAAACATCAAATAACGTGTTTACTGAAACAAGTAAGATGCACTAAAGCGGTGCTCAGTAAAAAACGAATCTTTGTAATTTGAGCAAACGAAATACGATTTTTTTACAGTACCATCTACAACGAAAAATGCAACAAGAAATCATTCAACTACATCGAGTAAGGAGAAAATAAATACAAAAGCCTTGAGCATGCAGTCATGATGGAAACATATTTCTTTGAGAATACTGAAAATAATATTTTCTAGCTGATATAAAATGAAATAATCTTCTTTACAGCAAGGTCTACACCGAGCGGACCAGGAATGGTTCCATCAACATCAGGTATGTTTAGAAGCAATTTATCAGCTGACGAAAGCGAGTGTTTCTCTGCATGGGATATGAAAACACGAGAAAACAACAACGCCAACTATAGTGTTCTTGTTGAATTTTTTCGAGTGTTTGGATATCCAGGTGAGACACAAGCAAGAGTTGCTCATACGTCACAAAATAATTTCGGAAGCTGCATGTTTCGAAGGGACGACAGAGAGTAATAATGATAAAAGCAATTTTAATTTGGGAGTGAATTTGTTTGCTGAGTCTAGTTCCAAGATAATATACTGTTGTTTTTATATGTTTTTATAATTATGTGCAAACAGACTATTTTCTTTATAGCACCATTTACACCAAAAGTGACAACAGAAAAGAATCCAACGACATCAGGTATATAAGCTTAACACGAACACGAAAGTGTATTAGACTTCAGAAAACATTACTGCATATATATTTTTATTGTTATACATGCGAATAGCATTGTGAGCGTCGAGAAGTAGGAATACCTTCTATATATAGTCTTTATAGTGTATAGTCTACAAATTATAGTGTTTAGACAATATGTTTGAGTTCACACAAGATTTACTCTGATTCAAATTTAGCCTATCTGATTTAAATTTATGTCCAGAATTTCATAGTAGGATTGAAATAACCACAGCGCGCATATATCGCATATATCGGATAACACATAAAAACTGCATAAATATATGTCGTGCAACTAAAATTAATGTCTTCTCTACAGAACCACCAACAACGAAAGCAGCAAGAAAAATGGTCTCGGCCACATCACGTAAGTCAAAATAAAGACAAAATCATCTTCGTCCCGACGGCTTGGCTACGAGGATGGACCAAAGTCCAAAGATTGTGACTGTATATCTTCCACTAAAGGCAATGTTTTAACGTTATATATGCACATGCCAAAGAAATTTGATTTTTATCATAGCACTATCTTCATCGAGAGAAACAACAAGATTGCTTTCAACGACAAGTATATAAGTTTAAATGAAAACCAGCTTATAAACAATAGTGATAAAACATTGAGTGCATGCACGTTTTGCATATAATATACTCAAAAGTAATAATTTTATAACTATATTTAAGCGAATAAAATAGGGAAATTTTTTTCTTCGAAGCACCATCCACATCAAGAGTGAAAACTGACAAAGATTCAGCGACATCAAGTAAGATCAATATGAACATAAAACATTGGCCATGCATTTGTCCATGAAAGTTAAGATTTCAGATAATTCACGAACCAAAGAAAAGAGTCGTGCGAGATCCGTCTAACTCAGCATGGAAATTTAGAATAGAACCGGCCTATTGTGTTGGGACGATGCTAAACCTATAAAGTCGTGCAAATTTTATAAAAACAATTATTTCATTGAAAATCTATCGATAAATTATATCCATCACAATTACAAATTATAATTATGTTTTATAGCAGCATCTACATCGAGAGCGACAACAGAAAGATATTCGACTACAGCAAGTAAGATAAAAATGAACAGAAAATTGTGAGCTACTGTAATACTGAATAAAATATAAACTCGAGAAAATATGTCATTTAAAGTTATGCTTATATTTTTATATATGATAAAAAAATGTTCTTTTCATAGCAACATCTACATCGCGAGAAACATCAAATAACGTGTTTACTGAAACAAGTAAGATGCACTAAAGCGGTGCTCAGTAAAAAACGAATCTTTGTAATTTGAGCAAACGAAATACGATTTTTTTACAGTACCATCTACAACGAAAAATGCAACAAGAAATCATTCAACTACATCGAGTAAGGAGAAAATAAATACAAAAGCCTTAAGCATGCAGTCATGATGGAAACATATTTCTTTGAGAATACTGAAAATAATATTTTCTAGCTGATATAAAATGAAATAATCTTTTTTACAGCAAGGTCTACACCGAGCGGACCAGGAATGGTTCCATCAACATCAGGTATGTTTAGAAGCAATTTATCAGCTGACGAAAGCGAGTATTTCTCTGCATGGGATATGAAAACACGAGAAAACAACAACGCCAACTATAGTGTTCTTGTTGAATTTTTTCGAGTGTTTGGATATCCAGGTGAGACACAAGCAAGAGTTGCTCATACGTCACAAAATAATTTCGGAAGCTGCTTCGAAGGGACGACAGAGAGTAATAATGATAAAAGCAATTTTAATTTGGGAGTGAATTTGTTTGCTGAGTGTATAGTTCCAAGATAATATACAGTTGTTTTATATGTTTTTATAATTATGTGCTAAAATATTATTTATAATATAACATTTATAGTACGCGCGTGCTGATTGGTCGAGAAGCGTGTTTCTATAACTGTATAGAAACACGGAAATTTTCCCGCCGAACTTGACAAGCGAAGCGATGTAATGAGAATTTGTAATTGAATCGAATCATAATATTTGTACAAAATCTTTTTATTGAGTTATATTATAAAAGAAATAGAAAACATTTTTTCCTGTGTTTCTATACAGTTATAGAAACACTTGTGGGAGTTTGGGAGAACTCGAAATAACGTGGAAAAACTCGCCCTACGGGCTCGTTTTCCCCACTGATTATTTCTCGTTCTCCCAAACTCCCACGCGTGTTTCTATAACTGTATAGAAACACGGAAAATGTTTTCTATTTCTTAATTTCTTTATAGCACCATTTACACCAAAAGTGACAACAGAAAAGAATCCAACGACATCAGGTATATAAGCTTAACACGAACACGAAAGTGTATTAGACTTCAGAAAACATTACTGCATATATATTTTTATTGTTATACATGCGAATAGCATTGTGAGCGTAGAGAAGTAGGAATACCTTCTATATATAGTCTTTATAGTGTATAGTCTACAAATTATAGTGTTTAGACAATATGTTTGAGTTCACACACGATTTACTCTAAGTCAAAATTCAAATTTAGCCTATCTGATTTAAATTTATGTCCAGAATTTCATAGTAGGATTGAAATAACCACAGCGCGCATATATCGGATAACACATAAAAACTGCATGAATATGTGTCGTGCAACTAAAATGCAAATGTCTTCTCTACAGAACCACCAACAACGAAAGCAGCAAGAAAAATGGTCTCGGCCACATCACGTAAGTCAAAATGAAGACAAAATCATCTTCGTCCCGACGATTTGGCTACGAGGATGGACCAAAGTCCAAAGAGTGTGACTGTATATCTTCTACTAAAGCAATGTTTTAACCTTATATGCACATGCCATGATTTTTTATCATAGCACTATCTTCATCGAAAGAAACAACAAGATTGCTTTCAACGACAAGTAAGTTTAAATGAAAACCAGCTTATAAACAATAGTGATAAAACATTGAGTGCGTTACGTTTTGCATAATATACTCAAAAGTAATAATTTTATAACTATATTTAAGCGAATAAAATAGGGAAATTTTTTTCTTTGAAGCACCATCCACATCAAGAGTGAAAACTGACAATTATTCAGCGACATCAAGTAAGATCAAAATGAACACAAAAACATTGGCCATGTGTCCATGAAAGTTAAGATTTCATGCAGATAATTCACGAACCAGGGAAAAGATTAGAACCGGCCTATTGTGTTGGGACAATGCTAAACCTATAAAGTCGTGCAAATTTTATAAAAACAATTATTTCATTGAAAATCTATCTGTAAATTATATCAATCACAATTAGAAATGATATAATTATAATCTTTTATAGCAGCATCTACATCGAGAGCGACAACAGAAAGACATTCGACAACAGCAAGTAAGATAAAAATGAACAGAAAATTGTGAGCTACTGTAATACTGATTAAAATATAAACTCCAGAAAATATGTCATTTAAAGTTATAGTCATATTTTCATATATGATAAAAAAATGTTCTTTTCATAGCAACATCTACATCGCGAGAAACATCAAATAACGTGTTTACTGAAACAAGTAAGATGCACTAAAGCGGTGCTCAGTAAAAAACGAATCTTTGTAATTTGAGCAAACGAAATACGATTTTTTCACAGTACCATCTACAACGAAAAATGCAACAAGAAATCATTCAACTACATCGAGTAAGGAGAAAATAAATACAAAAGCCTTGCGCATGCAGTCATGATGGAAACATATTTCTTTGAGAATACTGAAAATAATATTTTCTAGCTGATATAAAATGAAATAATCTTCTTTACAGCAAGGTCTACACCGAGCGGACCAGGAATGGTTCCATCAACATCAGGTATGTTTAGAAGCAATTTATCAGCTGACGAAAGCGAGTGTTTCTCTGCATGGGATATGAAAACACGAGAAAACAACAACGCCAACTATAGTGTTCTTGTTGAATTTTTTCGAGTGTTTGGATATCCAGGTGAGACACAAGCAAGAGTTGCTCATACGTCACAAAATAATTTCGGAAGCTGTTTCGAAGGGACGACAGAGAGTAATAATGATAAAAGCAATTTTAATTTGGGAGTGAATTTGTTTGCTGAGTGTAGTTCCAAGATAATATACTGTTGTTTTTATATGTTTTTATAATTATGTGCAAACAGACTATTTTCTTTATAGCACCATTTACACCAAAAGTGACAACAGAAAAGAATCCAACGACATCAGGTATATAAGCTTAACACGAACACGAAAGTGTATTAGACTTCAGAAAACATTACTGCATGTATATTTTTATTGTTATACATGCGAATAGCATTGTGAGCGTCGAGAAGTAGGAATACCTTCTATATATAGTCTTTATAGTGTATAGTCTACAAATTATAGTGTTTAGAGAATATGTTTGAGTTCACACAAGATTTACTCTAAGTCAAAATTCAAATTTAGCCTATCTGATTTAACTTTATGTTCAGAATTTCATAGTATGATTGAAATAACCACAGCGCGCATATATCGGATAACACATAAAAACTGCATGAATATATGTCGTGCAACTAAAATGCAAATGTCTTCTCTACAGAACCACCAACAACGAAAGCAGCAAGAAAAATGGTCTCGGCCACATCACGTAAGTCAAAATAAAGACAAAATCATCTTCGTCCCGACGGCTTGGCTGCGAGGATGGACCAAAGTCCAAAGAGTGTGACGTGTATATCTTCCACTAAAGCCAATGTTTTAACCTTATATGCACATGCCAAAGAAATTTGATTTTTTGTCATAGCACTATCTTCATCGAGAGAAACAACAAGATTGCTTTCAACGACAAGTAAGTTTAAATGAAAACCAGCTTATAAACAATAGTGATAAAACATTGAGTGCGTTACGTTTTGCATAATATACTCAAAAGTAATAATTTTATAACTATATTTAAGCGAATAAAATAGGAAAATTTTTTTTTTTGAAGCACCATCCACATCAAGAGTGACAACAGACAAAGATTCAGCGACATCAAGTAAGATCAAATTGAACACAAAAACATTGGCCATGTGTCCATGAAAGTTAAGATTTCAGATAATTCACAAACCAGGGCAAAGACTGTCGTGCGAGGTCCGACTAACTCAGCCCGCAAATTTAGAATTAGAACCGGCCTATTGTGTTGGGACAATGCTAAACCTAAAGTCGTGCAAATTTTATAAAATAATCATTTCATTGGAAATCTATCTATATATATATTATATCGATCACAATTTTAAATGATAATTATAATTATAATCTTTTATAGCACCATCTTCATCGAGAGCGACAACAGAAGGACATTCGACGACAGCAAGTAAGATAAAAATGAACAGAAAATTGTGAACTACTGTCTGTAATACTGATTAAAATATAAACTCCAAAAAGTATGCAATTCAAAGTTATACTCCTATTTTTTTATATGAGTTAAATATGTTCTTTTCATAGCAACATCTACATCGCGAGAAACAACAAATAACGTGTTTACTGAAACAAGTAAGATGCACTAAAGCAGTGCTCAGTAAAATACGAATCTTTGTAATTTGAGCAAACGAAATACGATTTTTTTACAGTACCATCTACAACGAAAGATGCAACAAGAAATCATTCAACTACATCGAGTAAGGAGAAAATAAATACAAAAGCCTTGCGCATGCAGTCATGATGGAAACATATTTCTTTGAGAATACTGAAAATAATATTTTCTAGCTGATATAAAATGAAATAATCTTCTTTACAGCAAGGTCTACACTGAGCGGAACAGGAATGGTTCCATCAACATCAGGTATGTTTAGAAGCAATTTATCAGCTGACGAAAGCGAGTGTTTCTCTGCATGGGATATGAAAACACGAGAAAACAACAACGCCAACTATAGTGTTCTTGTTGAATTTTTTCGAGTGTTTGGATATCCAGGTGAGACACAAGCAAGAGTTGCTCATACGTCACAAAATAATTTCGGAAGCTGTTTCGAAGGGACGACAGAGAGTAATAATGATAAAAGCAATTTTAATTTGGGAGTGAATTTGTTTGCTGAGTGTAGTTCCAAGATAATATACTGTTGTTTTTATATGTTTTTATAATTATGTGCAAACAGACTATTTTCTTTATAGCACCATTTACACCAAAAGTGACAACAGAAAAGAATCCAACGACATCAGGTATATAAGCTTAACACGAACACGAAAGTGTATTAGACTTCAGAAAACATTACTGCATGTATATTTTTATTGTTATACATGCGAATAGCATTGTGAGCGTCGAGAAGTAGGAATACCTTCTATATATAGTCTTTATAGTGTATAGTCTACAAATTATAGTGTTTAGACAATATGTTTGAGTTCACACAAGATTTACTCTAAGTCAAAATTCAAATTTAGCCTATCTGATTTAAATTTATGTTTAGAATTTCATAGTAGGTTTGAAATAACCACAGCGCGCATATATCGGATAACACATAAAAACTGCATGAATATGTGTCGTGCAACTAAAATGCAAATGTCTTCTCTACAGAACCACCAACAACGAAAGCAGCAAGAAAAATGGTCTCGGCCACATCACGTAAGTCAAAATAAAGAGAAAATCATCTTCGTCCCGACGATTTGGCTACGAGGATGGACCAAAGTCCAAAGAGTGTGACGTGTATATCTTCCACTAAAGGCAATTTTTTAACCTTATATATGCACATGCCAAAGAAATTTGATTTTTTATCATAGCACTATCTTCATCGAGAGAAACAAAAAGATTGCTTTCAACCACAAGTAAGTTTAAATGAAAACCAGCTTATAAACAATAGTGATAAAACATTGAGTGCGTTACGTTTTGCATAATATACTCAAAAGTAATAATTTTATAACTATAATTAAGCGAATAAAATAGGGAAATTTTTTTCTTTGAAGAACCATCCACATCAAGAGTGACAACAGACAAAGATTCAGCGACATCAAGTAAGATCAAAATGAACACAAAAACATTGGCCATGTGTCCATGAAAGTTAAGATTTCATGCAGATAATTCACGAACCAGGGAAAAGATTAGAACCGGCCTATTGTGTTGGGACAATGCTAAACCTATAAAGTCGTGCAAATTTTATAAAAACAATTATTTCATTGAAAATCTATCTGTAAATTATATCAATCACAATTAGAAATGATATAATTATAATCTTTTATAGCAGCATCTACATCGAGAGCGACAACAGAAAGACATTCGACTACAGCAAGTAAGATAAAAATGAACAGAAAATTGTGAGCTACTGTAATACTGATTAAAATATAAACTCCAGAAAATATGTCATTTAAAGTTATAGTCATATTTTCATATATGATAAAAAAATGTTCTTTTCATAGCAACATCTACATCGCGAGAAACATCAAATAACGTGTTTACTGAAACAAGTAAGATGCACTAAAGCGGTGCTCAGTAAAAAACGAATCTTTGTAATTTGAGCAAACGAAATACGATTTTTTCACAGTACCATCTACAACGAAAAATGCAACAAGAAATCATTCAACTACATCGAGTAAGGAGAAAATAAATACAAAAGCCTTGCGCATGCAGTCATGATGGAAACATATTTCTTTGAGAATACTGAAAATAATATTTTGTAGCTGATATAAAATGAAATAATCTTCTTTACAGCAAGGTCTACACCGAGCGGACCAGGAATGGTTCCATCAACATCAGGTATGTTTAGAAGCAATTTTTTAACTGACGAAAGCGAGTGTTTCTCTGGGATATGAAAACAAGAGAAAACAACAACGCCAGCTATAGTGTTCTGGTTGAATTTTTTCGAGTGTTTCGATATCCAGGTGAGACACAAGCGAGAGTTGCTCATAATTATGTCTTCTCAAATAAATCTAGACACAAGAATTTCGGAAGCTGTTTGAAGGGACGACAGGGAGTAATTATGATAAAAGCAATTTTAATTTGGGTGTGAATTTGTTTGCTGAGTGTAGTTCTGAGATATTATACTGTTATTTTTATATTTTTTTATAATTATGTGCTATCATATTATTTTCTTTATATAGCACCATCTACACTAAAAGTGACAACAGAAAAGAAGCCAGCGACATCAGGTAAGACATCAGGTATGTTTAGAAGCAATATATCAACTACGAAAGGGAATGTTTTTGCAGGATATGAAACACGAGAAAACAGTAGCGCCAGTGTTTTTTTTTAAATGTTTTGGAGTGTTTGGATACTCCGGTGAAACCCAAGCTATATATAGAGTTGTTCATATGGTTTCTCAAATGAATCTTAACAAAAGAATTTCGGAGGTTGATTTGTAGAGACGACAGGGAGTGTGTAAAACATCCCATTTTCCACTTACTTCGGTGCAGTAAAAGACTAACAATCTTTATTAAATTACAATCTCTTATATACATATTCACCATGAGCCCGCAATACTGTCTCTAGGCAATAGTTCCACTGAGCTATATTATAATTCCTGGAGGACTTGCTCTTGGCCAGAAAGTGAAGCAAAAAAGATGGCGGATTTTCAGCTTTGCTGACGCCACTAACAGCTGGGAAATTTGTTGTCGCTGTGCAAAAAATCGCTGGCACATAGCCGCATGTTTGTTCGAATTCGAATTTTGAACGAAATTCACAAAGCGAAAGTTTTATGGAGATCTGAACTTCTTTCGGCAATGATCGAAAAGTTTAAAGTATGGAAGCTCTTTATTAGCTCACGGACATTACTTCTGCTGTTAAAAATGGACTTTTTAACAGTGGATTTTGGTTAAATGTTGCCGACAAAGATTCCATGGCTTCGACGAGCGGTTGTATTTTTCAAACTGCTGTGTTAACTTGTGAATGCATGGCATGGAAACTCTCTTGCTTAAGCGGTCTAAATTTGAATATTATATAAATTGTATTATATAATTTTCAAATGGCTTGGACTGAATTAGGTACTTATCAAATAAGAATGATCCACGTACAAGCTTTGTCGAGTCGTTTGAAAAGGATCATCCACCGCCCTGAGAGACTTCCTGTGTGATAACGACCCTGTCAGAAAGGCAAAGTTGAATGACATGTAAGGTTCCATGATCTTAACAAAACATTTGTGATACTTATAGCACAATGCAAAGAGGCCGCACTAGGAATGGAAAACATGAAGATTTCTGACTCTCAGATAACTGCATCAACTGAATATTGTGAGAAATATTCCACACGAAAGGCTCGATTGAATGGCCCTGGTTCCTGGCGTGCGAAACAAAATGATTCAGATCCATGGATTGAAGTTGATCTTAGCAGAAATGAAACTATCACAGAGATTGCAACTCAAGGATCGAGATGGGGATCGGGATTGGGATCGGGAACGTATGGTTGGGTGAAAACGTTTTTCGTCTCGTATAGTTCAGATGGAAAAAACTTTGATTTTCATAAAATAAACGGAATAATTAAGGTAAGTGCTTGTCTTCCATGGGTTAGGTTTCTTCTTAGCCGAGCCCAACCAGTGACGCAAACAAGAATTAAAACCAACTCGCGTGTGGAGTTTCTTTGTTTTACAAGCACGTCGTCGAACTGGCCACGTCGTGAATCGTAAACACCCTATATTCTCAAAGTCTTGCGTTGTTCGCGACGTCTAAAGGTCATGGTTTTGATACTTGCGTACACTGCTTTAAATCTTGTTAAATTTGCGGCTGTAAATGTATTGTCCCAACTCCCAGGTTCTCCTCATCTTAAAGTACGTATACGAAAAATTTCTGGCCTATCTGACGAAAAACGCACCGCCACCGGCATTGGGAAAATCACGCAGATACATTGAAAAATAGCTAAAAACAGTCCGGCTTTGCTGAAATTGTAATGTTCACGTTTACATGCAACCCATGTATCGTGCTTGGATTGCAAGTCTGCTTGATTATATAAAATTCTACGCAGATGGGTACAGATATCCCTTTTTTGTATGCTTTTATCAAACAAAAGGGAGGAATATTTAAAGGCTTTAGGCTTTGCATGTATCATAAGATATATGGACAGTAAATGGATACGGCATAACTATCTTTGTCTATCTTCGTCATGATTATGTACAAAATTCGTTTACGGATATTTGTTAACTTTATTACTTCTCAAGATATTTTTGAATGAAATTATCTTCCATCCGCCATTTTGGATATGCATATTCTTGCTCTGATATGCATGACGTCGCTGGGTGAAAATTCGTTTTGTAACTTCAAATTAACGATCCGGTGAAGTGATAGTTCCATGGTATTACAAACGCACGTATCTCTAATTATAACGTTTGAATTGTAAGAGTTCTAAACTAAACCGTAAACTGACATGTAATTGTTATTTTTTAAGCGTCAAGCCTGCTTTTTTTGACGTCATGTAATTAGATCTCATTATAAAACAAGATGGCAGATAGTGCGGATATATCTCGATAGTCGATATTTTTGATCGCCAATATCTTGCAAAGAATAGAAAATTAACAAATTTTGTAAAAAGGCTCTATAAGAAGTGCAAATTTTCTTTTGAACAAAACAGAAATAATTTTTATTGCCATATCCCTTTAAGGTTATGAAGACTGATCTTTTCCTGATGAAATGGTTTCCTAAAGAATTCCACACTTGATGTATCTACCATGCATAAGTCTTTTTTCAATAACATCACTGCGTTGATATTTTAGGTATTCAGTGGAAATTATGACGAGAATTCCATTGTGAGAAATCGTTTATCACCGGCTGTGACAGCGCGTTATATTCGCATACACCCAAGGACATGGTACGAATACGCAGCCATGAGATTCGAACTTTATGGTTGTTATACAGGTATGTTTTCATAACGTCGGTATTAAATTTTCAAAAATGCTGCGTCGACAAATTTAGAACATCTATAAAAGTCTATACTAATATATCTTATTTAAATATAATTTTTCCGAAAAACTCGAAATTCAATACTCAATTTTACATGTTTAGTGATAAAAGGATCTTTACAGTTTAGCTTCGAACGGACGGACGATTCTAACTAATTTTTATGTTAGTTTTAAACAAATAACAAATTTCGAACGTCTATAAAAAGTGTATAGTGAAATACTGAATCTTATTTAAGTAAAATAATTTCATTAACTGCATGCCAAAAGTTTCGTTGCTTTGCAGCCGATCATTGGTGTAGGTGGGGACATCGTGTTCTCCGTTTATTATTTCCCCGCAGAAAGGTTGTTCAGCGGTTCTCAGGAAGCGAAAACTGACTTTGCCTAATTTTTGGCCAACAACAACAATTTCGACTTATTTTCGGGAAAACGTAGCTCATATAACAGTGTTTTAAAGTAATGGTGACGTCACCAGGAAAAAAATTAAAACCCCGTTTAAATGATGAGAAATCATTGTGGTGTTGACTTGATATTAAACAAGAAAACATATATAGTAAGGAAATGCAAAATATATCAAAAAGCCAACTGCAGGCAATTCACGACAAATTTGCCATGCAAAGCCTCTAAGCTTACAAAGCATGATATCCAATGCGTATAGAAATCCATATCAGAGCAATTATTAAATTAAATACGAATGTAGTCCATGCCATCGACTTTAATTTCTACTAAAGTCATTGAATAGTCAAAGTGTGGTCACAACTTGAGGTCATGAATCATGCTACATGTATTCATCTTATTTTGTGTCAAATATTAGGTCATTGCAAGTCATGGGAGGTTGCATTTGGATTACAAAATGGAAAGATTCGCAATTCTCAGTTGAGATCTTCGAGTGTTTACCAAAATAAGACGATTTACTCCGAAAAAAATGGGCGAATGAAAGGCAAAAACTCCTGGAGCCGAGTGCAGACAAACGACAACAAGCAATGGATTCAGGTTGATCTTGGTGGAGAGGAAATCGCTACGGGAATTGCCAGTCAGGGTGATGGGAACTCCAGTAACTGGGTGAAGTCTTACTTCGTGTCATACAGTTTGGACGGAATAATTTACAAGAATTACACAAACGACGGAGATAACAAGGTAACGTAATAGCAAAGAGTATTTTTTCGACTAACAACGGCAAGCGGCTCTCACTCCCTCATCGCAGAAACTAATTCGGAAGCTCGCTTCGAGTAATTTCGTCTAATCACAATGCTTGCATGGCAGTTTATTTCAATTAGATGGAAACACTCGCAGCGAGTTTGCGAGTTGATTTTGCGACGAGTGGAAAAGAGCCTTAAAGCCAGTTTCTATGTTCACTGAAAACAACATTCTCTTTGGTTGTTCTGCATAGCTTCAGAACGATTTAAAATAACAGGCATGCACAATGTCTTCCAGAAAATATCCATGTTATGGACGTCGCAATATTTGCCAATTTTGTATCGTATTGTATTGAATCAGTTGCAGTGCGCATGGAAATGGTTTGAATTGCATTTTCGACCCGAATGTGTCTATATAACTACTTCAATCTTTTACATATGATAGGTATTTAATGGCAATGAGGACCAGATGTCTGTCGTTACAAATGTACTATCTCCAGCAATAACCGCGCGTTATATCCGCATACATCCAGTATCTTGGTTTCACAACATATCTCTGAGGATCGAAGTTATTGGTTGCTACACAGGTAAACAATACTCAACGTATCCACTCCTCGTTTACCTTAATTTTCTACATCCTATAATTGACGCCAAGGTTTAGCGTTGCATGGACTATATGGAAGTGTCAACGGAGCGAGGATTATTATCTTTCACGATCAAATATTCCTAGAATTCAAATATGTTTTAACACCGAGCAAATATCCTCGTAGACGCGAGCCAGTGAATCACTGCATGAGCAAATATCATTACCACGCCTACTTTTTTGTGTCTAATACGGCATATAGCACAGCCCTGAGGTATCAACTAAACTATCAACACGCATGCTTATTATACAGCCCATGCAGCTAATTAATCTCTCTGACGGAGTAATAGCTCACGTATAGCGCTGCAGGTTTCATTAAAAATTATTTTACATTCTGAAAATAGAACTGAGTGGGTGACGATAATTTTTACTCATTGCAATTTCTAAAATGATCTAAATGATTACGTGTGCAAAAATGCAGGAAATTGTATCAGTAAAAATGTTGATGTAAGAGACCACGAAATATCTTGCAGTCAGTTGGCAAAAATACTGTGATACCAGTGATTTTAAGTTGAGCAATTCGAGATTTTTACATAAATCCGAAGAAGATGCAGAGTTGCCGAATTCTAAATTTTTCTTCTCACATGGATGCAAGGGATTTTTATTAACAAATTTTAGCAATTTTCAAGTATCATTGCATAAATGCTTTATGACTTTTCGTTCATTTTTCTAACTGTTTCTTCAGCTCAGGATATGCCTAAATTAGATAGGGATAACTTTTTGTCGGGTGCAGATGAGTTATAAAGTGATGTAGTAGAAATATAGTGCATATACTAAATTTGGTGAATTAGGAATGTTTAAGTTCTACGACATTAATAACGACACAATAATTCATAACAAATACTCCTATCATCCAATTCTAGTTTTTTAAATTACGATAAATTAATTAATTTAAATTATTCATTGTGCTTCTTCTATCTGGCACTTAGCTGGTTAGTACTATTTTACTTGGCTGGGACAATGGTGAATGTGCGTAATTAAAAAAGCTATTCTCTTACACATGCACGTACTTACTTTTTGCATTTCTGGCAACAAGGTTCTTGCAACAGAAGTGAGGTTCCACTTGGAGTGAGCGATAAAAAGATGACATCATCAACTGAGAAAAGTAGATTTTCTGCATCAGATGGGAGATTATACTGGGGGAATGGTTGGCGTCCCACAGAAAACAATCAGAGCCAATGGCTCCAAGTCGATCTTGGCCAGAAGGAACTTGTTACAGCGATTGCCACTAAAGGTTCTGGCACTGGTTATTGGGTGAAAACTTATTCGATTTCTTACGGTGTGGATAAAGTAAACCTTACTTCATACAAAATCAATGCAACTCAGAAGGTAAGCGGCTAAAGAGATGATATTCCTATTATTATATTATTATTGTACAAACAGTCAGAGCCAATGACTTCTTTCTGACAAACAATTGTTACGGAAGGTTTTCTAAATTACTTTCGAAACACTGAGTCAAGAGTTTCCTGAGTATGTGGTTTACAGTGTCGAAAAACTTTAATATTGAATGAATTGTACCCAAAAAGGTACCTGAAGAACAAAGGAGGGTTTGAAGAGTTGGGTTTTATGAATGACCCGTGGCCGAGATTTGTTAAACGCGAGAAACTATTTAAAAATGGGGGGCTGCATGGATATAAATGTCATCTATATAAGTTAAAATATACGTTATAAGGACTTACACTGTGTTGCTGAAATATTTAAGAAATTTCATATTCAGAGAAGGAAGAAAGCAAAAGCAAAAGCAGAAATAAAAAAGCAAAGTATAATTAATTATACTATGCCCCATTTTACCAAAAGTTTTTCATGCAGGCTGACGTGATTCATGCTGAGATGTCCACCCTAATTGAAGTCGAGCAATATGCCATCATCTCGATCAACCAATCCCACACGGGGGAAGCTAACTTCCAATGATAACTTTGTTCAAAACCTTTGTACAATCCCACGCGCGAGGCCAGTTAAATTTTTCGTGCAGGATTATTTTGTCTTGCACAGCTATTACCCAGCTAGATTGGGCGGTCAACTGCACTTAGTTATAATATATTGCACTATCATCATTTACCTATTATGTAGCAGATGTTTTTCAGTTTCTGAGATAACTAAATTTTGTGTCCAACTATAAAACATGATCTACCGCAGCCAGTGTACTGATTGTACGACCTTATTGTACGACCTAACATAATGACACAACGACTGCTATTTCCGCAACCTTTGTTCGAAATTACTTTTACCTCGTCCTTTTCCTAACTCTCATCCTCTTATAAGGACGGTGCAAAGGAAAAAAAGCTTAATTACTATAATGATGATTCAAAGCATTATTCAACTACTAAAACTCGATGATTTGCGGAATTATGAATAATTGCAGGATAATGCTTGAAGGATTTTGGTCTGAGGGGTTACACAATGTCACGAAGCGTGAAAATAGACACAGTCACAGTCTGCGGTGGAATCTTTGGTTAAAACAGTGTTTCAAAATATGACATTACTTGTCGGCTCCCATGCAGCCGGTATGTTGGTTCAAGATTTCAGAATTAGTTGATTCTAATTGGTGAACCTAGGGCGCAATAATTATTCCCGTTTGAAAAATGAACATAATTATTGTCAACGAAAGGCAAGGGTGTAGGCAGGCGAGCTACTAGGCACAATGCATAGCTTCTCTTTTGCCCTCTGCTTACGGAGCAATTCGGGGGAACCTGCGCCCTTTGCTACCATATAAGATGAAACATGAGAAGTTGAAAAAATTAAATAATGTAATGGAAACGTTGCGACTATAATGTTTAATCACAAGCTGTAGCTGCTCATTACAATAGTAAACATTGAGATATGGGCCTAATAGGAAAACAAAACGAAATTTAATTACTCCTCCAGTTTGTTCGCTGTCAGTGCCATGAATTAAGCAAACATTGACAAACTGTTCAGGTACTGTTTCTGGTCGTAGCCACAAAGAAATATCAGGACATTTCAAGACTTCACGATACTGGAGCGATTATACAGCGCGTGAACAATGGTTTAATTTAATGGGACTCTAAATTTAAACCAATCATTAAAATTGATTGCAAAAGATCCCAATTAATGAATTACGAAATAATCAAAATACAGCGACCATTGAACATTTCTTTTCAGGTGTTCGATGGAAATACGAACGGAAATTCTGTTGTGACAAATGTCTTATCACCAGCTGTAACAGCTCGTTATATCCGCATACACCCAAAGACATGGAACAATGGCATTTCCTTGAAAGTGGAACTTTATGGTTGTCCAAGAGGTATATTTAAAAACACTGCATGCAGAAGTTTGCAAATATTTGCAGCAAAATTAAAGATTTTCTTCTACGTTCTCAAAAAAATACACTAGAAATTCTCGGCCTAATAAGTTATATTTCGTGACCAGAAAATTTACGACAATACCTAGCGGAAGAGCGCATACTAATGAGTTCAGCGAGAGGCTTCTGCTGATGAATCTTGTTGGTCGATCTGACAATGCACCAATTGAATCTTGATCTCGACACGGTCAGAATCGCACGCAATACTCTTCTCCTAAAGGCGATTCTCATTATCATTCGCTCCACCCGCGCGGACGAATTGAAGCGGGTTCAGAAAATCTGCCCATGCAAACGTGACGGGCCTCTATTCCCATCAACAAACTTCATATATACACAAGGGTCTGCAAAGGATTGACTAAACCCGTCTCTGGTCAAGTGGCCATGTAATGTTTCATTCCAATTTCTGCCACTCTGTTTCAGGGGATTTATTTAATTTGCAAACAAGCTTTTCTCCGTTCTTACCATTTTTTCATAACGCTTTGGTTGCTCGACATATATGTCGCAGTCAATAGGCGCGTTTAGATAAGCTGATTTGACATCCATTTGATGCACTTGCATATTTTCATGTACTGCGCGTTGAATGAATACACGGATTGAGCTTATCCAGGCAGTTGGTGCGAACGTCTCATGATAATCAACACCCGGGTTTTGTTAGTAACCCCTAGCAACGTACCTAGCCTTAAACGTCTCCTCATTGTTTATGCCTGTTTTGATTGTGTACACTAATTTGCGACCTACAATCTCACGATTAGAAGGTAATTCTACTAGTGTAAATGTGTCATTATTCACTAAAGAAGCAAACTCTTCGTCCATGCATGGCCTTTTTTCATTGGACTGAATCTCTTCATCTTACAAAGCGGGCTTCATTATCGCTTTTACCTAGGATCGCAAGAGAGCAACGCAGTCTCCATCGCCTCCTGTTAGCGGCCTTATTGTGTAAGAGCATTTTTTTCACGCAATTTACAACGACATACTGCTGCTCTTTTAATCATAGGAGACTTATCAATCTAGCCCAGGAGGGGCGACGTTTCTTTTTCGCCCTGATTTGTTTACGCTTTGGAAGGTAAACAAAAGTTTTTATGTCGGGAGCTCTTGATGAGAGTGCCCCTTTGCATGTAGCTATACTTTACAAAGAAATATAACTCGGCAGATCTCTACAAACATATCGAAAACGGTAGTAAATCGTACTACAAGGTAGGACAAGCCTCCACAACGTACATACCTTAAGCTCACTGTGCCGCGCTGCATTCAGTCATGCCTGATGAAATGGTGCCTTATATCTATGTGCTTAGATCTCTTGTGAAAAACTGGATTCTTCCCTAATTTTACCGCGCCTTGGCTATCTGCATTAATCATCGTGCTGTTGTTATTTTGGAGTATGTATTCTAAAGCTATGTATTCTGCCTCACAAGTTGAAAGTGCTACTGTCTGCTGCTTATTACTTTTCCAGGATACCAGGGGTCCAACCTCTGACAGCAAAAAACCATATCCGGATATGTTCTTTCTATCGCTAACGTTTCCTCCCCAATCTGATTCACTGTATCCTATCAATTCTAAGGAGTCCTCACTCCTTCTGAACTTTAAACTTAAATGAGGTGTTCCTTTTAGATATCTCAAGACGTGTTTAGCTGCATTAAGTGAGGCAACCGTCTGGTCATGTTTGTGAACAATAAGACATAAGTCTGGCCTAGTGCCAGTCATAATACAGTAGTCCCCCGCTAACTCGAACTCGCTTAACTCGAACTCCTCGCTAACTCGAACTAAATCCAATTCCCCTTGAATTTGATAGTGTTTTTTATAGTAATTTACTGCGCTTAACTCGAACTCGCTTAACTCGAACTCCTCGCTAATTCGAACAAATTTTGTTTCCCCTTGGTCAAATATATCCGGTTAACTCGAACTTTGGTTTCGAATCATAGATCAGCAAACTTTAAAATGTGAGAAGATAGAATTTTGACAACTGGAAACTATCAAAATAACAACAAGTTAATCAGTGTATAATTGTATATAAATGCTTATAAATTTTAAAAGATTTTGTGTGGTGCTACGGTCGTTATTGATCTAACTTTTTTAGTTCCTTTTGTATTCTTTCGATCTTTTTAATTTTAAAACGTCGTCCACTCTCGCTGACCATTCATATTGGGAGGCCTGGTATCCCTTGAAGAATGATTCGATTGGATTTTATATCTTATTGTATTACTTATATAATAAACGTAATCTGACACCAACTCCGGTTAACTCGAACCCCCGGTAACTGTTAGACTCTCAACTATCTGCCTATTCAAATTAAGATTCTCTAAGTCAGGTGACTCCATACTCATTAATTTCTCGTGTTAAATTTTTTCATGTTAAGTTTTGTCAACACTTTTTCAACATAGCGGCTTTGATTCATTTCTATTACGCGATCGGAACATTTAAATTCAGTCCCTAAAAACCAGTGTAAAACGCCTGCGTCTTTCATTTTGAATTGCTTACACAAACCATCTTTTACGCTTTTCAATAGGCTTGAGTTGCTTGCGGAATATATTAAGTCACCCACCCAAATTATCAGTGTGATATATTTGTTTCTATTCCCATCAACAAACTTCATGTATACACAAGGGTCTGCAAAGGATTGACTAAACCCATCTGTGGTCAAGTGGTCATGTAATGTTTCATTGCAATTTCTACCACTCTGTTTAAGGCGACTTCTTTAATTTGCAAACCGACGAGCTTTTCTCCGTTCTTACCATCTTTTCATAACGCTTTGGTTGCTCGACATATATGTCGCAGTCAATAGGCGCGTTTAGGTAAGCCGATTTGACATCCATTTGACGCACTTGCATATTTTCATGTACTGCGCGTTGAATGAATACACGGATTGAGCTTATCCAGGCAGTCGGTGGGAACGTCTCATGATAATCAACACCCGGGGTTTGTGAGTAACCCTTAGCCACGTACCTAGCCTTAAACGTCTCCTCATTGCTTATGCCTGTTTTGATTGTGTACACCCATTTTCCACCTACTATCTTACGATTAGGAGGTAATTCTACTAGTGTAAATGTGTCATTATTCACTAAAGAAGCAAACTCTTCGTCCATGGCCTTTTTCCATTGGACGGAATTTGTTGATCTTACGGCCTCTGAATAAGAAGTTGGCAAATCATTCAACAATAACGGTAATTCTTAGTCGTATCATCTATCGTGCTTTCTACTACATATTCACTTGAATATGCTGGTTTATTTCGGACTCGAGTGGGGTATCTTCCAGTTCCCTCTCCTAAACCATCAGCTTGCCCCTCTCCTTCTGCAGTTGATTGTTCTGCAGGAGCTACAGTGTAAGGTGGTGGATTTATTTCATCTTCTATTGGGCTTTTGTCAACTTCGACATCGCAATGATCAAAACATTTTACGCATCTTACCCGTTTTACTTTCATGCTTTCCGGGTTGTACACCAAATACGCAGGGCTCCCCTTATCATATCCTACAAAATTCCCTTTTTACTTCTCGGATCAAACTTTTTCCGGTTTTGCACATAAAATTGTGTATAACAAACTGAGCCAAACACATTCATCTTGTTAAGATTACGTCTTAATTCTGTCAGAGCCTCATAAGGGGTTTTGCCTAATCAATCATTGAAGCACCTGTTTCTTATTTTATGCAGATGCTAACACTGCTTATGTCCATGAGGTCTTTAGCAGCTTTGCTTCCAGGAATAAACACCTTGCTATATTGAAAAACTTTACCAAGCCCTTTCAGCCGTCCCATTTTGGAGGGGTGAGTAGGGGGTACATGTCTGGAGTTTAATCTTATTATCCCGTAAGAGTGATTGAAACTCGTGTCCTACAAATCCCCAAACCCTCCCCCCCCCTCCTGATACATTCACTTTGCTAAGAGGTGCAATGTCAGCAAGAAATTGTTTTGTAGCCTCAACAGTGTAAGATTTGTGTTTTAAAAATATATCACGATCACTCTACTATAATCGTCAACGAATGATGAGCGGTTCCTGAAACCATCTTTACCATCTGGACTAAATGGTCCTGTTAAGTCTGAATAGATCGACTAAATCTAATGGAGCCTTCGCTCGTCTATCTGGTGTTCTACTTTTTGCCTGTGTCATTTTACCCGGTGTACATATGTCACAGTCAGCCTCATCATAATTTGTGATATTCATGCCGTCTTAAACTTTTTCTAGTTTACGTCTGTTAGTGAGATTACAGTGCCCTAAGATCCTGGGCCATTCTAACAGAGAAACTGCATTATTCCTAGATGACAAAAAGCTATTTTGATAATATAGGCGTCCTATTTTCTCTATATTTACGACTAAGCCATCTGCGCTCCTAAAATGCTTATTGCGCTTATCTACGCTCATGCTGCCGCCGTATTCTATCACCGCGTTGACCGAAAGGATATTTCATATCTTGCTTATAAGATGGGACATGAAGCGCGTTGTTTAGGATTAATTCGCGCGAGCTTCCGTTCAGCTTTACTTTCGCCGCGGCCTTTCCTGCTACAACCTTAGCTTTACTGCCGTCTGCGAGCTCTATAACGTGCATATCGGAGTTAAAATTCTTGTCGAACTTGATAAACTTAGTCTTGTCGCTAATGATATAACTAGTTTCCCCGCTATCTACTAAATGACAATTATCACTGCATGACATGACACACATTATCACAATTAACACTCACATGTTCGCCCTTATCTTTCTTTTCTTCTTTGACAGAGTCTCTGATCTTCTGCCTTCTTTGTTGAGTCCCGCTTTCCCGAGTTGTCGCGGCAATCTTTGGTCTGGTGCGTCTTGGTTTTATATACAGATGGAACACCACTTCCCACTCTTCGCGGACTTTGTCCAACATTCGGATTTTCGATGTCCCTTCTTTCCACGCTTAAAACACTCCCCGTCAAACTTGCTGTTTTTGAACGCTATGACCCTTTCCTTTGTCTCTGTACTTTGTCTCTTTTTCGCTTTCTTCGTGGTTGCGTAAGGCAACTTTGAACTCCGCGAACATCATTTGCTTGTCGCACTGAATTACAATAGCCGAGAATGTCTTCAAGTTGTTCGGTAACCCTTTTAGGACCATTGCGACTAGAAGCGGATCGCTTACAACTTCGTCAGCGTTTTTCAAAGCCGTGGCTGCTTTCTCAGCCCTTATCACGTAGTCGACAATGCTTTAGTTGTCGGTCTTCTTTAACGAAGTCAGTTCGGTATACAGAGATATGACACGTGGTTTTCTCTTTTCTTGGTAGTGTTGTCGCAGTATCTTGGGCGCTTCTGGTCCGTCGTCTCTAGCTCCCCGTATTACCAGAGATGGACTTCTGTCTTCCAAACATTGAAGCCTCATTTGCGCTAGGAGCTCATTCTTTTATTTCGTCGCCGTTGAATATTATTGCCCGCCTGGGCCCATAACCTGTTGGATTTAAGGCTGTTGCCATTCTCTCGCTTTCAATAACACACACCGCATATAACTTTTATATTATCTTTGTTTGCTTTTTGCTCCTGATTAAGACATTGACACATACATGACTGACATAAGAGTACAGCCGAATGATAAATAATCATTTTATCCAAATTAGATTATATCGTTTGAGCCAAGTGGGATTCGTTCCACCGGCATTGCAGTTAAATTAAGATTTTTATAATACTCTCTAGTGAATACTATTCCTTGTAAAGCTGGTGAAAAGACACTTGGCGTTGAAGAAAATAAAAAAGTTAAAGATTCTCAATTGACTTCTTCGAGCAATTGGAAAACAAGTCACTCAGCAGCTTATGGACGATTGTACAACTACAGTGGAGGAGTGAGAGCAGGGTGGAGAGCTGGATGGAGAGCAGGAGTAAACGACAAGAACCAGTGGATACAGGTTGATCTTGGCAAGAAGGAAGTTGTCTCAGGAATTTCCACTCAGGCAGGAGGATATTATCAAAATTCTTATCATGATTTTTGGGTGGAGACTTATTTCGTGAAGCATAGTTTGAATGGAACAACGTTCGAGTCTTACAAAGATGGAGGTGTTGATAAGGTCAGATTTATTTCACTGCAGGACGCATAAAATAACAATACAGTTAATACGTGTTTGGTAAATCAATAATTTCCAAAGATTAATATTTAAATAGTCCATTTATACAGTAGTCCCCCGCTAACTCGAACTCGCTTAACACGAACTCCTCACTAACTCGAACTAAATCCAATTCCTCTTGGATTTGGTAATGTTCTTTAACTCGAACTCGCTTAACGTGAACTCCTCGCTAATTCGAATAAATGTTGTTTTTCCGTGGTTAAATATATCCGGTTAACTCGAACTATGGTTTCGAATCATAGATCAGCAAACTTTAAAATGTGAGAAGATAGCATTTTGACAAATGGAAACTATAATGATTGCCAGTACGGACCGAAAGCTTTGCATGGAGTAGTAAATAATTACGTGGTGTACCTAGCTAATTTACTTCTAAAAGAATATAATTAGCAAAGGTTGAGCGGTGCATGGCTTTTGAATTTTACATGTAATTTTGCCCCCGAAGTGACGTTTTCACAATGTCATGAATTATTTTGCCCAAAGCGAGTAAAGAAAGGTTTTAAAACAACCCCTGGAGCCGGTTGTTCGATAGGCGTTGCTTAAACGGTGGATAAGTTCAAAATGGAAAATAAAACTCTATTTATTGAGTAATTGAACAACGGAGCTGAGATATTTCGATGTAAATAGTTTAACTGTCAATATAGAAGTACATATTAAATGCATAAGATGTAGTTTCAGTCATCCACAAGATCTATGGCAGTATTTTTAAACTTTGGCTTATCCACCGTTTAAGCTATAACGCTTTTCGAGCAACACATGCATGCATTTAAATTTTATCTAAATAATTTACCTGCTAAATTTCATAAAAGCGTTTATTGATACGGATGATATACGTAGGCACAATGTGATCTCAACCTTTTTGCTAGAGTTGCGTAGGAAAAATTTGAACTGAGAAACTTCAACTTGTCAACTCGAGCGATGTGAAAAATGGAGTTAATCATCTAATTTTGTCCAAAACAATAAACCAATTATTCTGAAGACATTCACATACTGGACAAGGGCATGTAAAAGTATATGTCTGGTGTTTGTCACTATAAATGTACAGTACTGTATCGGTGGTCCGGTTTTATATTTTTTAGAAATTGCATCAGTATATATTCAGTTTTGACCTTTTATTTAGATATTCGATGGGAATTATGACTGGGGTATCATTGTGAAGAATGTTCTGTCTCCACCAATCACTGCTCGTTATATTCGTATACATCCAGTGTCTTGGCATGTCAACATATGTATGCGAATTGAGCTTTATGGTTGTTACTGAGGTATGTACTAACCTTTCATACATTTAAATATCCTTCAGTTTATTATAAAATAATAAAATTAAAAGGTGACAAACGGAGTCAAGGTTACATGCCGGAGAAAATTTTTGGCTGCCTACATATAATTGCCCATATTCACAAACAAAATAACTTTACCACTGCATGCATAAGGCATTTAGAGCATTCATTTCTGTTTAAATAATTTCATTTCCACTTCCTAAAAGATATAGAAAACCATATACGTGATATGGCAAATGGGGCGCCAGAACCACTGGAACAAGGATGGGAAAGCTAGGGATTACGAGAGAAAGCAGGGATCACCCCGCGGCCTTTGCTGAAAAAAGCAATGCCAATGTCACGCATCTTTTGTCAAATGTTATAAGGTTAATTATGTTAAAATTGACGCGCTGATAATATTATTATGTGAATAAAACGTTCCCTTATGGTTGTGTAAACACGTGTGTACCTATAAGTCTAGACGTCCTCTTCGTGTAGTTGCTACGGTAATGCGCTCGTTTCTGAAATTCTGACCCTACAGCCCCAGATGGTTCCTCTTATGCCAAGATATATTTAAATGCATACACAACTATGGCTAAACGTAAATACATTAATTGGTATTTATTTCCCTTTCAGGGAGATGTAAACAGTTGAAGTTTCAAAGCCAGGATGATATAATATAGAAATTGTAGAATGGCTAATGACTGGGAAAAGTTTTCCTAATAATTATATTATTGTAGTTCTTGGCTTGGTAAATCTTAATATACGAAGCAGTTTAACATAAGGTTAGTAGATGATAAAATGAACAGTTTGTGGTGTTAATGACAGTAGTATTAGCAACAAATAAATCAGCAAGTAAATTAGCTTGTAAGTACCCCATGCACGTAGGTCTTTATTGCTGCAAGGCTTTCGGTCCGTTAACCCGGGCCTTCATCAGTGCAATTACCTGAAAACACATTTACACATAATAAATACTTACGTGTTGTACCTACCAATTAATTTACTTATTGATGTAACTATGCAAACATACAAGAATATTAGATTAATATAAGTTTAGTCATTCGTAATGCAGAGGCATCGAATACAAAATTACAGTCAGATATACGAGCATGCGTAGAAGAAATGTAGTATGATTGTATCTGTATTATCACTTAATAAATAGTCTGTAATGTAATATGCACTGGTAATAAGTTATAAATAAATCAACGATTTTGCGAAAAAGATGGCGGTATGTGCATTGCAAGCTGAAAATGTGGCTGGAAAAAAGACAAGTTGAGTACCTAATGTTAGGAATGACGTAAATTGCAATTTAACACGATGAAGAAAACAATCCCATGTTTTATGATGATCTTTCAAAGACGATGCTTCACTGACTATATACACGCGACCGCAAATATTCTTGTAAATGAACATCCGCCATTTTCAGAATTGTTGACTGCACGAGTCATGTTGTCAAAGTTTTTGAATGTGTATTTGTTCGTAGAACAACATTATACGTTTTAAAGCAACTTGATTTTTGTCTCTTGTTCTGTCGGATCGAAACAGAAAGAAGGAACTTGCACGAAAAACGGCTTTACAACAGTAATGAATGCATGAATATCAACTCGGCAGGTATGGATACATGTCGAACTCACTCAGTTTTACTGCATCAGTTTCGGAGCGGTCAGTTGTGCTTTCCATTCATCAAGCATCAAAGCAAGTTAGTAAACGACCTTATTCATAGCGAGGGATTGAGGCTGAGTCGAACATCAATATTGTTATTGATAAAGTATTGATTACCTTTTTTACAACTGCAGAAATTTCTATATGGAATATAAACTTTCCACTTGCCTGTTGTTGATGTTACGCCAGGACGTACCCTGTGTGGCAAAGTTCTTCCGTCATGTTCACCCTGCAAAAAATGAAAGTTAAATTTAGCCTGCTATTTGAAATAGTTTAATCAGAGCAATTTTAAACCCCCGGATAATTTTTACAGTGCGGGGTTTTAAGGTGGTCTTATGCTTATTTTTGCCAAAAATTGAGACAAAAATTAAAAAATCGGTTTCGCTTTCCTATCTGCAAATCTGTATAGCTTATCAAATGAAGGAACAGCCTCTTAGAACTTATCTAAATCCTAACAAATGAATAAATATACAAAAGTTTTAGAATCTCTCTTTACTGAGTTTAAGTCACGTTTAAAATAGTGCTTACTTTGGGTTATAGGAATAAAGTAGCTAATACGAGTATAGCTAGTTTTGGATTACCAAAGATGTCCAAAAGTACTTCCTGATTTTCAGTTCTTTGTATTTCAAAGATATTTGCGAGTCTATTTTGTGTTGGAATCTTACTGCATGATTAAAATAATTATTACTATGATTATTTTATAGGTTAGCTGTTTTGTGGGGTGAAAGACATATTACAACTTGTTGGTTTTTGATTTGTTAGTTTTTGCCTACTGTTGAAATAGATACTGAATGAACAAATCCCCAATTAGGAGCTGTTCATGCACATGAGCTCAGTTAGCCGAGATTTAACGAAGCGTGAGATAATTTTGAGGAGTTAAGATAAATTTTTCAGACAGCAAACAAGGACGTGCTAGTGTTAGGATGACTGCACGAGTACCAGGATCATGTTATTTATTCATTTTATTACCTCAAAATCATACCATGCTTTGTTAAATCTAGGGTAAACCGGCTCATGTATAAACAGGGTAGAAAAGAATAATACGGTTATTATGCGTCTTAGTTATAGTCCCTACGGCGAAGGTATTCTCTTAGGAATATTCAAATTTTGTTTCTTCTGTGGCTGGTCTACACGCCGAGTTTATACGCCGCACTCTGGTCGCCTCGAATGCAACTTACTTAAGATAATGAAATGATAAACTGCATTAGGCTTTAGTACCATGCTGTTATCCATCATTTAAATTGTACAAAGATTTCACCGTAGTCCCCAACGTTAATTGTGCATACATGCCTTTCTTAATGAACTCCCGGCCGAACGAAGTCAAATAAAGATATAAACTAACCCCGCTATACCTCTATATAATTTAACAGTAAAGCCTACTGAAGGTCGGGAATGTTAAAAATATTCACGAAAGCATTGGTTTTTAAATCAGAAAACAAAATCAAAGCCCCTCCTAAGCGAATCTGAACTGCTATTCAAAAACAACATTATACAAAGCCCATGCACCTAATAAACTATAATTATTAAATTCATATACCTAATCCGTGATCAAGCTCTCGAAAATTCTTCGTAAATCGTTGACATTATACAGATTGGCGCTGTCATTTTGTAATATCAGTACATTTTATAATGAAATTAGCAAGGATTGTGCTTTTCCTGAACGATTTCGCGACTTCGAGTTTGGTCAATGTTGTTAGTTTTGAAGACTTTGACAAAGTCATTAGTTTTTCTGGACTATGGTCAAACCACTCAGCCAATCACAATGACATTGCACAGTGTAGGGAATAAACAATAGGAGCAATCAGGTAAGAAATTTTTGCATCATGCATATCTGATTACGCAGACATTACCATAATTGATGCATTTTCAGCTAATCAGAACTTCGAGTTGGCTAACGACAGCCAGTAAATAAAAAAATTATTCGCAAGTTATAAATTTGCGGTTAATGGAGAATATGTTCTAAAAGGTTCTATTTCACCCAACATATGGACCATCTCTGGTCTAGCTGTCATAGTTATCGCATGCACTAATTTTAGCTCAGGCAAGGTCAAGGCGTGCCTCTTTGCCTTGTCTGGGAGAGTTTATTTGGGAGGAGATGGTGCAACTTGTGTTGTGGGCTTGACACATTATGTATTAGATCAATGCACATCGCAATTCGACATTCTTGAAATGATTTCATCCCAGGTTTTGACAACACACTATCATAATCTTTTTCAGAGTAAATTATCCTTAATACTCTTTTTTGTACGTTTTCGATTCTGTTACTCTCTGCTATTATTAGACCCCCATGCCATACTTGTGCCCCATATTCAAGTTGGGTCGGATCACAGAAATATAAAATACTTTCATATCGTTAGTAGGAAAAGTCGCTTTAATGCTTCTCCTACAATATAGTCAGTATTTGTCTCCCACTTAAGATTGTCATCTATCCATAAACCAAGTAATTTAAACGAAGAGACCCTTTTCAAGGTTGTATCATTGTATAAGAGTGCAGGAATTAATGTCTTGTTCTTACGGAAGTCTAACTGCATTTCTTTGCATTTCTAAAGATTTAATTCCATTTTTTTGTGTAGCGGCAAAATCCATAATTTTCCTAACATTTTCTGGTGTACTTCCGATTTGCGATCCTGAGATATGGGCGCTGACGTTAGTGACTTCCGATTTCACGAAAGTGTTGTATCATCACTCATCGTCCATAAAAAGGGTTAGGTCTACATCATTGCCATTATCGTTGGTACAGACGTCCATATCGGTGGAATTGTTATCAGAACGATTAGCCACCGTTTGCAAACCATTAATAAAGGCGATGAATGCTATTGGGCCATGCAAGGCAACTACCCTGGGGCACTCCTCCATTGATAGAACAACATGAAGAAAGTTGATTACCAAACCTTGTTATTTGCATCCTATCGCTTAAATATCAGCAAAGCCAACTAACAAGTCCAGGACGTACCCCAATTTCGCAACACTTATCCAATAAAACATTATGATCAATTAGATCAAACGCTTTACGGAAGCTCAAAAACACAATTTTTATTACTTGTTGTGGCGGCTCTAATACTTCATTCCATTTATGCAGAAGATGAACAAGTGCAAGCATTGTTGACGAACATTGCACACCACCATACTGATTTTTACAAACTGAAGTCTCTATATCGTTATATATCCATTCAACCACAAACAATTCTTGTATTTTCGAAATTGTACTAGTAAGAGCAATAGGTCTTATTTCGTCCAATTCGGTACATGGTTCAACTTTTGGTATTGGCGCTAAATAGAATTCTTTCCACAATTTTGGGAAGACTTTAAGTCCGAAAGAATCATTAAAAATGTTTGTCAGCGTTACTGCGAAGAAATTAGCAAAGAAAAACATGCTCTTAGCACAGAAAAATAGGGTTATTATCAAATATTATGTCGCTGTCAGGGTATAAGGTATGCCCAATGTCGCGTCGAGTTTGACGGTACCAAAATGCGATAAATAAACTTTTGAACACAAATATTTAACGTGCGTGCATGGTTAGACCGTTGGTTGTGCCTTCTTAATCAAACGTGGCTCAACCGCCATTAAATCGTGGTTCAACCGCCATTACAGCTCTTACTTTAAAAGGTCGGGTATGTGAAATCACGCTGAAAAAGCTTCTCCGGAAGAGATACGAACTGCTATAAAATTTAATACTACTGTACTAACCCGAGATCAATCATTCTAAAATCCTACGTAAATCGTTGACTTTATACCCTTTGACGCTGTCATTTTGTAATATTATGTACATTTAATTGTGAAAATAGCAAGGTTTGTGCGTTTCCTAAACGATCTCGCCACTTCGAGTTTGAACATTGTTGTTATAAATGTCAAATGAGGATCACAGTGCGCGATGTTTGAATAAACCCAAGCGTTCAAACTACGGAACGCCATATCGCTTTAAATGTACTGTTCTGCCCGCCGACCTTACAGACAATTAATAATATATTTGCTGTACTTTTTAAATGAAGATCTACACCTATATAGAGCTGTTGCCTGAAACACCTTAAACACTAAGAATTTAAACATTTATTAATATCAGTAGAAACCTGATGAATTCGAGTGTGGCATAAAATTCGTCAGGTTGCGTGTGAACTACAGGGTGTATAAAAAAAACTGCAAATACCATAATTTGTATGCACTTTAGAATTTCAATGACTGTGCAACTAATTACGCTTCTGGGATTTGAAAATACGTTTCTCAGGGTTATCAAACCAAGCACACAAAGCGAATTAAAATTAGGTCGATTACGAATGGCTCAG